CTTCTTCCACCCATGAGGAAAGTTGGCTCTCTGTGTGCCAGGAAAATTTTTCTCCCTGAATCGATACTTCAAATATACAAAACAACCATTCGCCCTTGCATGGAGTATTGCTGCCATATATGGGCTGGAGCACCTTCTGCTTACCTCGGAGTTCTTGACAAGATCCAGAGACGGATATGTAATCTAATTGGCCCAGATCTGGTGTCTCGTCTGCAGTCACTCTCTCACAGACGCGACGTCGCCTCTCTCTGTCTTTTCTACAAATACTTCCATGGTAATTGCTCTGATGAGCTGCTTTCACTGGTTCCCAGACTCCATGAATTCAAGCACCCTACGAGGCTGGCATCGCGCTCCCACCCTTACACTATAGAAATTTTTAAATGTAGCCATCTCTTCTACTCCAATAGCTTCATACCTCGCACATCTCACCAGTGGAACACCCTTTCCAATTACTGTTTCCCTGAAAGCTATAATCTCCAACTATTCAAATGTAATGTCAATCGACACCTCCAGTTACCTTGATCTACCCACTATCCTTCTCCTCATCCTTTCTTCTATCACTCCTATCTGCTCTCGCTCCAAATCTTCCGCAACCCCCTGCATCCTAGTGGCTTCACATCTTGCTTGGGGCGTAAAAAAAAAAAAAAAAAAAAAAAGTAGCAAATCAAACCTCTGTCTACACTTTTGACACCAGTAGCAAATCAAGACTGTCTACAATTTTGACTCCACTTCAAATCATGCCTCTATTTATACTTTTGACTCCTATGCAAATCATGCTTTTATTTACACATTTGACTTCAGTGCAAATCAGGCCTGTATCTATCTTTTGACAAGAATGTTATCAGGACTTATATCTACCTTTTGATTTGAGGGAATATTGGACTTATCTCTACTTTTCTATTAATTCATGGTGATTTTTGCCCATAGGACATATTTGACTTTAAATAACCCAGCAGGGGTTGATAGGTCATTAAATTAACCAACCCAACCTCAAATCCACAGGGATTTTATAAGCTGCATATTTTGTTTAGGATTATGACTTACCTCCTTCTTAAATCTACCAAGACAACATTCACCACTAATTTTCAAAATTCTTTGTTTCCAAATAAGAAAATTAAATATAATTAGCTTGGCCACTGAAGTGAGAAAACTAACCAATTCCTATTACAATAAATTTTCTTCATCTCTTCTTTTTAAAAAGATTTAGGATTTAACAAAATTGTTTATTTCAATTCATTGATGTTTTGACATTGGAAACGTCAACTGGTAAGTGGTTGTAACTGGAACAGGATTGAGTCAAGATAGATCAATGGACTGATTAAGAAGTTTTGTCTTAATCTGCTTATACAGAAAATCTAAAAAACGAAAACAAAATAATCAAAATAAAAGGGTATAAAAGAGGTCCAATTGTTAAAATCAAGTTGTCAGATTATCGTGCAAAGCAAATCAAACCTATGCCTATCTTTTTGAGTGCAGTGCAAATTAGACCTACATCTACCTTTTTGTGTCCAGTGAAAATAGGACCTTTTTTTTTTGTTTTCATTATTCCATTTTTTTTTTCTAAGTATCTTCACCTATTTCATACTTTTATCACATTTTTGGTAGACAGAATATTTGACATTCAAAGTGTAGAAATTCAGATCCAGAACTCAGTGATGATGTGAGCTCACTACCCATGCCTAAAAGAGCTTGCCATGTCATGTAGCCCTGCATATGCCATTTTTGTTTTAGATGTGAAAATGAAGATTGACTGTTGTTGAACCAGTCACCTATCTTTTTATTTTTAATCTTTTCACCCCAAGCAAGGAAACAAGGCCACTAAGTTCCAAGGAGCTATTGAGCATGAGAGAATATGAGAAAAAAAAAAAACAGTTAAGGAGAAAGAACAATAAAAGAACAGGAATTAAAATGTCAGAAGATAACAATTGACATTACATTTAAATTTTTGAAGAGCAAAGCTGACTGGAAAGCAAGAAGCTGGAAGAGTGTTCCACAAGTGAGAAGTGCAAGAGAAGAAACTGTTATCATGGAACTTACAATTGCATCTAGCCATTTCAAATGTAAAATGACCAGACCTTGCTGTCTATCTAGTACTGTGATTAAATTGACAAAATCCAAGTAACAAAGGAAATTCAATCAGAACAATTAACATGAAAGTATTTATAGAAAAGGCACATGGAAATTATATTACAGTAGTGGGAAAGTAACTGAAGCCAAGATGCTAGATCAGGACCAATAACATTGCACATTCTGCTTTGTATTTTATCAAGAATTTCTTGATACATAGCAGAAGCACCAGACTGGATGTAATTAAGACATAATGTAATACTGAGAAACTTCAGAGAAAAAGATACTTTTGATAATTCGAGATGAAGCATAAAACTTTTAGCAAATGAATATATTCATGATAGCTTTCCGATTATGGCAGGACACACACACATGGAATAATAATTCATTTGTAACAATGATAAGGGCCAAAAAATATATAGAAATGAAAGTGAAACATTTTTATTTTATTGTTGGTAAAATGCAACTTCAGTTCGTGAGCATGGATTGAATCTCAATGCCTGAGAATTTAAAATAAGAATTCTGTTGTTTTTCTCTTTTCCTTCCACTTGTTTATAGTGGCCAAAAATGTTCTCTTTCTTAACCAATCATATTTTTTTTGTTGCCATTCTCATAAATATTGTATCAAGGCTTAATACCATTGCTGAAAATATCTACCATATCTATATACAGTTATATACATCTAATCCCTTACAGTTTTATTATTTTTTGCTTAATAGCTATAACTCTTATAATCTTTGTTGCTTACAGCTCTCTTCCAAACAATCATATATATAAACATCTACAAAAAAAATATTCCTTCTTTATTTCTACAACTTTTGTTTGAAACTAGTTGAGTACCTGCTTTTTTAAAAAACTATATTTATTAAAAACTAAATAGAGAAAGAGTGATAAAACTGACTTGAAAAGGTTGCATATTTCAGTTTATACTCCTTTGTTAACCAAGGTTTCTTACCAGACAGAAGTGGAAATTAGCCGTAATGACACCCATGTTCATGACAATTTGATTTAAAATGTATGTGCATAGGTATATTTTAATTTCAATTTTAATTCAATGACAAACGTAAAAATATTTCTACAAATTTAAAAAAAATCTTTAAAAATAATTCTCTTCATTACTGAATAATTTCTGAAAAGTTAAAAAATATAATATCATTATCTGATATTTTAGGCTTCAAAAAAGTATTATTTTTTCTTATTTTGAAGATATTGATTTTATTGTTCAAGATAGGGTTTGTCCAGAGTGAGTGGGAGGGAAATGTATTATTTCAATGTCTTACTTCAGACTTTGTGTGTGTGTGTGTGTGTCTGTTTGTGTATACATTGCTTCCATGAATCTATGATATGGACCCCCACTTTCACTACATCTCATATTATAGTATTCTTAATATTGTAAACTAATTATATACAATAATGGCTAGTATGCAATATAAGTGAACAATTCAACTAGAAAAATTGAAAATAAATACAATGTATCTAAATTAATTTTAATTCAATATTATGGTTAAAAAATAGTGAATTTTATAGAATTGTTTTTTTAGATTTAGCATGAGCAAAACAAATTGACAGATTTGTGCAAAACAAAAATGACTCTGGAATAATGTCATAATGTGCAAAAATTGTCCATCTTTTAATAGTCTGTTATACTTTTAACATATAAAAATGTAGGTAGAAAAAAGTAAATGTTGATAAGATAGTGAGGGTCACAAAGCACTACCTGGGATATCCAATCAGGATGAAACCTTCACTTGGTGGGTTCGGGGGTAGCATGCATTGGCTCTAGCTTCACCTACATAATTATAGAACTTGCATCCAACAAGTTTATTCAATCAGGGAAACAGATACACATCAGCAGATATGGAAAATGGAAGTAAATTAATGTCTTACTGGATAGTTGACTTGGCCATATTTTGTGTCATTGATGTAGCTAGACCATGATGGTGAGGGAAAAGAGAAATCTAGTCTAGGCATGTAGATATATGTAACTTATGGCTGCATCAGATGTGTGTGTGTGTGTGTGTGTGCATGCATGTGTTTTCTTGTGTATAAATGAAATGGAATAAGCACATGTAAGTCACTCATGCACTACACAGACATACACGTATATGTTATGTGTGCGAAATAGTGTGTAATGGTCAGGGAATTACCTCCTTTTATAATATAAATTCATTAATTTTAGATAAGCATTTTCCATCTGATTCCTCTTGATGAAGCTATTTTTTGGCAATGTCTGGAAAAAGAGTGAATGGAAATAATGATGACTTTTATAGAGCAGAGATTAGGGAGATTTTCATTTCATTAAATACATTTTTCTTTCTTTTATTCACACCTTCTCTCCTTGAATTTTTTTCTTTTTTTTTTGGAGGAGAAGGCTTTTTTCACATTTTCTATATCTATTTTTCTATATATTTTCTTCATCTGTACAAGATAGTGTGACAAAAATAATAACAGTCCCAGAGCATTCATCTCTTCCTTTGTCAATTTTATCTTTGATATCTGGGCTACTTGCATTGAATGAATGTCAGTTGTCTACCAAAAGACATTATGAACTGGCCATGAGGCGGCATCCAACATGCTGCAACCCCACTATTTTTCTAGGATATCAGCCAATTGGATCTGAAACTCACAAGCACTGACCCAGGTAGCTTGGTTTGATGACTGATTTATTTTTACAGCTTATCAACACTTTGCAGGTTATATAAAAAAAAAAATTTAGATTTTAAGAATTTTTTGTTGGGGGTAGATAATAATGGTTTAGTGATACAAGTCTTACTAATTAACCCATAGCTTGGGGGCAGGGGAGAAGAAGTGGATTCATACCTTTCCCAAGATTTGCATGTAAGTGAATATAATGAACCCAATAGTAACTGGGACTATGTACTTTGATTAACAATTCTGAGCCATTATCAATTACACCACCCACAAATCCATGTTTACAGCACCTGGTATCCCCAAGCAGTCACCCATCTAGTTACTGACCAGGCTTGATGTTGCTTAACTTTGGTGAGTGTATGGGAACTAGTGTTTCAATGTGATATGGCCATAAGCACAGGTAGCTAGGAAAAGCTAGCAGACATCGACAGTGGCTGGTGGCATGCTGCTCAAGAAGGAGTCATGAAGGGTAAGTAAAAGCAAAATCGACTGCTAGAGGGCAGAAGACAATACAGGAAGCAGAGAGAGCAATCTCAGACCTTTGTTCCACATTCCAGCTTCATCTGCCACACCTGCAGAAGAATCTGCCATGCAAAGATCAGACTGCTATGCCATTACAGATGCTTCTCAAAACAGGACTGGATTTCAACCAAACAAAATGCTACCATTGTTTTGAAAGACAAATGGATAGTCACTCTCTGTATCTTCTCTCTCTGTAACAGAACTGAGATATTTTAAAAAAAAAAAAAAAAAGAAAAAAGAGAGGCAGCTTAAAAAGAACTGGATTTTATACAACGGAAAGTTAGGGACTCGTCCTTGAAAAACATTTTAATCTTGAGAAGTATTTCATATCCTGGATTGACTATTCTTTCTCATAATAAGAATAAACACTCTAAGTGTGTCAGCAGATGGAATGGAAACAAATATATTTTGGTCAGAAGAGACTGTATTTGGTTATTCTTTTTTATCAGTTTTAAAAGGAGAGAAAAAAGCATTCAAATAGTAACAGACTATGAGTATTTCATTTCAGCAGCATGAAGACTGCAGGCATCATTCACTATCATCTCATCTTCAGAAGAGTGTATCTACAATAAGAATGAGCGAAATGAAAATGGTGCACAAAATATTGATTATCAGAGTTTTTTATCCACTGCACAAATTTAAACTTGTAAGAGAAAAACAAAAACAGTCTGCTAAATACAGCATGTAGACACAGAATAAAGACTACAGGAACTGTTAAACAAAGTTGTAAAGAAAAGCAGGAAGAAAGGACAAAGCAGCATAGTCCTGGGTATGATGATAAACTACATCTGGCAACAAGGCCTTTCATCATGAGACTGGAGGTTTTGAGGAGTGTGGAACCATCTATTAATTGCTGTTTTTCCCAGGTGTACTCTGAACCCCCAAACAAAAACAAAATACTATGAAAGTATAAAAAAATACATTTTTATAGTGAAAATACAAGCAATATATTTTTATATAAAAAAATTGCCAACAATATGTATTTATAGTAAAATTACTAACAATACATTTTTAAAAAGAAAATGAACAATTCATTGTATAGTGGAATTACCAACAAATACATTGTATCTGTAGTTGAAGGCATACAATTGTGTTTCAAATATATTTTGTTGAAGCCATAAAATTGTGTTCAAAATATTTAGATTTCAGCACTAAATGACCTATAGAGATTGATATGCTGCAAAATGAAACCAACTAAGTAATCAACCATTGAACCAACGATTGTAAGAAGACAGAATTTATAGTCATCAAAATCAACCAAAGAGAGAAATTTAAATATTTGGGAAGTCTTTTAAAAATGAAAGAATAAGTGACACTGAAATTTCAAAGTGTACTGCAATAGGAAAAGTAACCTTCTAAAAGCTCAACAATGTATTAAGAGACAGGAAGATTTTTAGATTTTAAGTGAAAAAGGAACTAAAATAATTTTTCTTCAGTGTGCTGTATTCCTTCAGGAAATTGGTGATCATGGCTCTCCATATTGTCCTGTCTTTTGTAGCTCTTAATAAATTTTGTTCTCTCCTAAATCCTGTTCTACTATCCATATGCTCACTAGGTAGGTTATACATTCTTTTCCTCTATCTTGCTTGCTTTTAATCTGTTCTGTGTGTATCAAATTTTCCAAGCCCTCTTTCCTAATTATGTGACCTAGAAATTTTAATTCTCTCTTCCAGACGTTAAGTATAAATGTCTTTTTTGTTTTAGTTTTCTCTAAAACTTCATCATTGCTCAAACGTTCAGTCTGTGGTATTCTCAGCATCCTTCTATAGAACCACATTTCTGTTGCTTCTTTTTCATCTTGGAGAAGATTGTCCAGCAATCACTGCCAATAGAAGGGCTGAGAATACTTACACTTAAAATTCAGAAGAGAGTTTAATTTTCTGGATTGCATAATGAGTAAAGGGGGGTTGGAGAATTTAACACTCACAGGATATATTAAAAGTAACAAGACAAAGAGGAAAATATGAGCAATCTGCTTAACAAGTTTGTGTGAATAGAGGACAGGGAGATAGTAATAGGTTAAAAGGTTATTAGAGCAAAAAAAAAAAGACAGGAATTTGTGGAGAGCCTGCAAGAGACAAAACATGATCTGATTTTCAATATTTGTATTAAGAGATGTATCATTGAATTGCATTTATTCATTTCACTCTTTTTTTAACAATATAGGTCAGTCGTCATATCTCCTGATCATATTCATATGTTTCTACAGTATTCTCTTGCTATTTTGGTGAGGGAGTAAATGAATTGGGAATCATTCATCAATATCCAATAGCTCTTTGGACAGTGATAAAATTGTTTTATTAATGTATATATTAACTTCTTGCTAACATATGATTTGTTACTTACTTTACAGAGATTTCTCACTGCTCTGCTGAACTAAACATCATACATGGAATTCATGCCTATCATTCTATCCACGTTTTACCAACATGGCGAAGGCATCAATAAAAAATTTTTTTTTCATTAGCGAAAAAAAGAATCTTTGATAAATGATGTGACCAGCTTTTATTTATTTTTATTGAATGAAGCAATTATTAACAAAGCAATCAAAACAGATCTAGGAGAATTTTTGGTAAATATATTATCTCAGTAATCTACAGTCAAAATCACTACAAATTATTTACTAAAAATGCATATATCAAAAGACCTATAAAAGCATTGGAAATAATTTCCTAGAGAAATACATTGCAAATTTTTCACTACAAAAATATAATGGTAATATATATATATATATATATATATATTTTTTTTTTTTTTCAAAATGTATAGCTGGTAATATATATTTTTTTTTTTCAAAAATGTATAGCTGGTAATATATATAATTTTTCAAAAATGTATTGCTGGTAATATATTTTCCTTCAAAAATACTTTTTTTTTAAATGTATTGTTGGTAATGATTTATTTCTTAAAAAATTTATTGCTGTTAATTTATTACAAAGTATTTCTGATATTAAAACCTATTTTTACATTTTCATAGTGTTTTAGCCCCAGTTTGGGCGTTAACTATTTTCCCATAGCTGGGACCCTAACAGGTGCTACCACCCCAGGTCAGCATGGACCTGGGAATATCAGCAATTAAGAGATCAGAGGACTTGCTGTTGGATGTAGTTTATCGTCTTACCCAGGATGCTAAAAAGTTTGTCTCCTATCATGTTAAAGTGTTACTCTCTGAATTACTCAGAAATTTTATCTACAGTCCTATTCATGTTCTTCTCTGTGATTTTTTCACAAATTTAATCTATCCTATAAAAGGTATAATACTCAGAGTTTTTCCCAATTTTTATTGACTATCCTGTTACATGTTACTTTCTGACTTATTTACAAATTATTTATAAATGAACTGAAAGTTATTTACAATGCATTTGTATCAAAGATCATTTGATATGCCTTTTTTTCAAACACATTACTTAGTTGGTAATAGAAAGACAAGTAAAATCTTCATATGTTGTTCTTCAAAGAACCTAGCAATTTCATACGCCAATCACTTCATTTGGGGCTCTCTAAGTCATTCACCCATTTAATTTTATATTTTTTTCAGTAGAATAGACGGCTTAAGTGTTTTTCTACATTAAATAAAGCATTGATAAAATAGTTAAAGTTAACTAGTTCCAACTTGTTTTTCTCATGTTTTAAGCATAAATTGTTTAATAGTTAAAACAAAAACAAAATATTTTAAAAAAATCTCAAACTTTTTAAATCAAAAATCCAAATATTAAAAAAAAAAATGATGCAAAAAAGATAAAGAAATGATTATGCAATTATTAAAAAAATTGCCTATCATCCCTCCGTGTTCCCAAAAAGTAACTCCCAAAGGATTAAATGAAATCGCTATATAGAATTGATTGATTGGCACATTGATATCTGAGTCATGTCAAGAGATCTAAAAAGAAAATAATTAATAATCTAAAAATAATCTAGATACTTTTAATATCTGAAATCACGTTGATGCTGAAACTACCTTGGATTCTTTTTTTTGTTGTTGTTAATGGCATTTCAAATCCTTTAGGGTTATTTCATGTTATGATTAGTTTAATGGCGGATATTTCCGTTTTAGCTTGAAGGTTGAAAATTTAAAATTTTTGTATTGATATGTCCAGTTTGCACAAGAGTCAAATGTTTTTATGACCAGTGTTAGAAATTCAGATAGTGTTTTTTTTTCATAAGTCCCACTCCTTTGACTTTGTGAGCTTTGTGTCACAAATATAATGAACTATGATCAATTCTATCATGTAGTTGATATAGTCACATACCAAGGAAATTTTTTTATCTTATTATGTAAGCCATGATATCACAGGTAGGATTTATCAAATAACTTAAAAATTTCATTATAATTATCACATACTTATAGACAACATCAAGAAAACTAAGGTAATAGGACAAGGTACAAACTCACCACATGAGATAAAACTTGGTGCTAAATCTCTGAAAACTGTAGATAAGTTTGTTTACTTAGGATCTACCATAACATTGACCCTCTCTATGGATGAGGAATTGACAGTCAGAATGGGAAATGCTGCAGTTGCATTCAGGAAAATTATGAAATGAACATGGGAAAGTGATAAACTTAGGATAAAAACCAAGACTCTAATTTACCAAACATGCATTTTCTCAACACTTCTTTATGGGAGAGAGACATGGACATTGTATGCTGGTCAGGAGAGGAGGTTGAATAATTTTCACATGAGATGTTTGTGAAATATTTTCAAAATTAAATGGCAAGATAGGGTCCCAGATATAAATGTGCTCAAAAGAATTGGCATTCAGTGAAAATATCCCGTCATGTACCACTCTGCCCTTTCTATCACATCCAATGCCGTGCATTTGTTTATTTATTTAAAAAAATAATATAGTGTTCATTATTTTTTTTTGTTA